GAGCAATAAAAATGGGCTTAAAAGCCTGAAAATGCAAAAATATTGCCAAACACATAGCAAATGGGCGGTTTGGGCTGTTTTTGCTTATCAGCCAAAAAAGTAACAATAAGATTACTTTTTGAGCTGAAAGTTATTATTGGACCGTTGCAATCTAAAAATACTACTTTACCCTTTTATTTTACGTAATACGCCATAGTGCTGCCCTTCCAGATCGATGACAAGAAGCTTTCAATTGCTGCACCATAATTTTGTCCTTCCAGATCGATGACCTCCCTACTCGATTGCGCCATAGTTTTGACCTTCCAGATCGACAAATTCTTGCTCAGATTCTTCATATTCAGAGGTAATTTCAGAAAGAAGAATTCCAAGAAGCGGTCATTTTTTCGTTTTTCCGAGTGGTGTTGCTGATTTCCGTTATTATAATGCAAAGGATCATAACTCTCAAGCACTAGAGATTTCCAATGGTTTGTTCCATAACTGCAAAGATTGTGGAAACTTTTTAGTTGTGTGTAATATATTGTGATTAATTAGCCCATGAAACTTTAGTTGATTCCCAGTAACTATGATGTTTGATGTTGCTGGGGGAGATGTTCCATGTCTGTTTTATGACTAGCATCCTCCTCATATTTTGCACTCTTTGATTATGATTTATTAATGACAATTTAAATTGTTCCTTGCAAAAAAGATACGGAGTATATTTTATTTGCGAGTAATTTAATGTGATTAAGATTATTTCAAATTGGAAAATTTCAAAGTAATCAACTATTTAGGTAATTTATAGTTATCTAATCAAGCAAAAGTAGTTTAATAGTAAAACTTACACTCATATATTTAACACAAATAAATTAATATCCTTTATGGTAATTTTACACTCAATCAGCCATTCCAGCTAACATCTTACCAAACACTTTCATTTCAGCAAATTCAGTCTTTTCAGACTTTTCAGCCATTCCAGCCAATGCAGCTGTTACCAAACAGGCCCTATAACTTTTCATAGCAATTGTCATGATTGGAACTCTACCAATTGAGCTCGCACTCTATAAAGTTGTGTAAAGTTTTCCAATAGTCATATCGGCGACATAATAATCGTAACGTTCTTGAACAAATAACGGAAGTGCTGAAACGTTTTTTAGCATTGGCTTCTTAATGGTGAAAGGAATTAACTCCGTACATGATGAATGACAACTAATTAATTGACAAGAAAGAGCAACCATATCTTAGACAGTGGACAACATGCTTAGCATAATCCATCATTAAGACAAAAAAAGCACAACACAAAGCCAATGCCAATCGAAGCAAGTTAGATATTGATTCATTAAAATGGGGAATTGTAAAATAAAATACTGTTCGTAAGAATCAATTTCTTTTAGTAAAATACTCCCTCCGTCCCGGAAAATTGTTCCCGCATTGACTTGGAACGAAGTTTAAGAAAGTGGGAATAAAGTGGAAATGTATGGTTGTGGTTGAGTAAGAAAAAGGTACATGAATTGTAGCCACAAAAAACTTTCCAAAAGGGGAAAGTGGAACAATTTTTTGGGACGGCCCAAAAAGGAAACCGGAAACAATTTTCCGGGACGGAGGGAGTAGCATACATATGAAATATTAAAATGGTTAATTAACCATATCATAAGATTCACAACTAGAGATGACATCGACGCGGGTTTGGGGTGGGGTTTACTCCCCCATCCCCTCCCTATGTCTAAAAAGTTCTCTCCATCCCCACCCCACTTCCCGCTATTCCCAGATCCGCTCTGTCCCTGCCCCCCACCCGTTGTCCTCCGCAGGTGCCTGCGTGTGCCCTCATATAGATTTTATTTATTTTATTTGCATATTTTTAACTCATTTTATATATATAAACACACACACACACACACACAGGGAGCGATTCTGGTAAGAAAGGTCTCTTAGGAGAGAAATGAGAATGAATCTGGATCGTTGGATTGTATTATATGGAACTGAATTGTGCATTTGGTAAAACTGAAATGTGCAGAATAAAAAATTAAACTCAAATGTATCCAGGGACCATTAGGTCTACTTTCGTAATACTCTTCCCCTCACGCCCAGATCACCCCTCGGCGCAGATCTGCCCTCATCCAGGGACCATACGGTTTGTCCCCCACCCATGGTCATGCACTAGTGTTTGAGAGGCAGTATTTGTCAGTGTGTCCTAGGATGCCACACATAAAACATATATTTGGGAGCCTCTCGTATCTAACGTACGCCTAGAACCAGCTATCTCCTTCCTCCCTTAACTGAGTTCTTCTTGTAAGAGCATTTCTTATATCAATCAATACACGTATATGAACAAACTCCTTGCTTTTCCCTTTCAGGGTTCTTTCATCAATCCTGACCAGTCTCCCCAAGTACCGGCCAATCCCAATCGCCACTGTTTCAGTCATAAACTGAGAGGTAAGTTATGGAGTTGTACCCAGAATTCCGCATGATTAAGCTCCACATCCAGTGGTCTGTCTCTCTTTGTCACCCTCCTTATAACAACTAGGTTCTAGTCAAAAGACCAAGGCCCATCCTGCAAAAATCGAGCGCCAAATCATGACCATTGTTTCCCTGAAGGAAACAGGACGAACTGGTTTATCCGTGATAACTCTACCAACAGCAGAGAAACGAGGGTTCTCACCCCCCCATTGTTTACATTTAGAGCTCCCGATTCAAACACTAAGCCGCCGTTTTCCTCCTCCTCAATTGACATCTTGCCATATTCTTCCGCTTTTTCTCCATGATAAAATAGAAAGACCAACAAAAAAAGAAAAACTACACCAAAGCAACGGAGAACGAACACACTGCTCCCTAAAGGAAAAGTAACCGCCGAAACCAACAACAATACTCTCGGCCAGGGCTTATAGCTCAGCCGGACGACATCAAAATCGGATAAACCGATCACAATTCCAAAGCCTTCGTCAACAAAAAGAAAACTAATCTTCTACGCATTCACAAAGCTCGAAACAGAATCCAAAACTCTTAGCTCTGCTCTTGCGTCCTGCTCCACGTCACATCGAAGCTAGCTTTAATAAAGTAGCATCAAACCCAGATTTATCTTAGTTCACTTTAAGTAAATTGAGTTTTCCGAAAAAAGTTGGAGTAACATCTGTTATGTTCGTTAGATATAAGTCTGACGAGAATAATATTCTACGACTAGCAATTCATTTATCTTCAAAACGACCGATTTAGTATCTATCCTCTTGATCGAGAACCCGGATTGCTCGAGCCGGCGAGAAAGATGGTTCTATAGACTTTGCTCCGAGGTGAGTTTTTTGTTCGGCGGCCGTAGCACCTCTAGGGTTTAGTAGCCGCGGTTGCATATTCAGTTTATCACCACATTGTACCTTTTATTTTGCACATTTTAGTTTCACCTAGTGCACATCTCAATTTTATGTAATGCACAATTTAGCTTTAAATATTGTCACTATATTGTACCCTTTGTGTTGCACATTTAAATTTCACCTAATGCACAGTATAGTTTCATCTCATACACATTGAATTTCACATAAAGCAAATCTAACTAATTCTATAGTTAGAATTAGTCTAGATTCATTCTCATTTCTCTCCTAAGATCATTTTCTTATTTGAACCTAATTCTATGTGTGTGTAGCACTAAAAGATGTAAACGCGATACTAGTGTGTTTGATAAAAGTTAACTCCGCCAATTTTTAATAACTCTTTAATTTGAATAAGTTTTGTGAAGATAATAAAAGTAAAAATATAAGTAAACATTGTTGGTCCCGGATTATGTGGATTATCTAACAGCTTAAAATGGAAATCATCGCATAAACAGAAAAGGAAGACATCACAGAATGATTTAAGCAAATATTAAGTGCAGAGAAATCTCCTTTCTATTTATCGAGAAGTGCTTTTGACAGCGTAAGACTACTGAGCAGAATAATCGATCCTTTAGTACCTGTACTGAGCGCTCCTATTTATAGGCGCAGTACAGTTTACCTAATTAGGGTACATAGGAGTTTGGGCCTAAAGCCTTTTTGGACCTTATTCCCTTTTCTACCTATTTATTACATATGGTTTATTAATACTCATACCATAAATGGTATATCTAGTTTAATTTATTTAACAAGACATTACAGACAAACTTGACACAATAAAAGTTCTAACAATCTCCCCCTTTGTGATCAAGTGCCATCTTGCTGAGTATCTTCATTTCTGAGCTCTGAAGTAATGTTTGCGTAGATTCAGCGCATGCTCATAGTTTCTGATGAGAGACTTTCTTCTGTCAAGATGTTTCTCAATTGCTCTCAGAATGTTATCAGTCCTTTGGAGTTCCTTGAGGTCATCTTTGGAAGCTTCTTTAGATTTCTTGTCGAGCTCGTCTTTCTTTGGTTTGAGCTGTTCACGAATTATGTTCAGGGTCCCATCACAGTATTTGTGAACTTTGTAACACCGTCCCCAAATGTATTTACTTTTAAGAGTATAATGTATTGAACCTTATGGAATGATTAATGAATATACGAAGTGGTGAATTTTTAATATTTCTTTTGCGTGAATAATAAATTCGCACGTGGGACCCACACCGGGAGCGGGGCCGCCCGATATTCCCGAGACCATATATTTTATTCAACTTGGTCGAAATAATATTTATATAGAGGTGGATAATTTATTTGGTCCAAAGAAATGGCATAATGTGAACCGATTGCTCAAAAGCGGCTCAGTTACCGGTATTGGTAATTTAACGGATAACAGTCCGAAATTGGATTTCGGAGACCTATAAATTAAAGCTGGGGAATGTATATTCACTATAAGGGTCATAATGATTGAGAACACATAATATATTTTATGTGACCCGATAAAATAAAATATAATTAAAACAGTCCGAAAAATACAACTTTCGGGGCTGATTGTACTATTCGGGAATTAGAGGGATGACCACCCACATATATGGGGGCCACCCCATATATTTTTGTCACCCAAATCATGGAGTGGGGCGGATGGTGTGATATGGGAGCATAGGAGATGTGTGAGGTGAAGGAAAAGGCATCAAATAAAACAAGGTGGACCCTCCCCCACACCACTCTCACTATTGAGACAAAAAGGAAAACACTCACCCCTTACCTTCCTTAATCATTCCGCCAACCCATCTCAGCCTACTACAAGAGAAATCTCCAGCCTTTCTCCATTGTTGAAGGGAGTTCAAGGGAGCAAGAAAACCAAGGAAGAGGAAAGAGTTGCAAAATAGTGCAAAATCCTTGAAAATAAAGGTAAGAAGCCCTTAATGACTTTTCTTCCAACTTTGTTCTTCATGTTCATTATATATCCTATGAAGAACCTCTAGGATTGTTCTACATGATAAAAGTGTAGAATAATGGGTTGGAGAGTGGTTCTAAGTCTAAAAACGGACTTAGGAGCCAAACCGACAACTTCACCGGAAAATAACCTTTTAGCGGTTATTTGTATTGATTAAGGTTTTATGATGTTAAAACCTTGTTAGGAACTTGATTAAACTATTTTTGAGCTTCGCCGGAGTTTCGCCGGAGTTGGTCAAAGTTTGCCGGAGTTGGTCAAAGTTAGTCAAAGTTCAACCGGGAAGCGTAGAACGCGCTTAAGCTCACTTAAGGTGAGGATGACCGACTATATTACTTATAATTATTGGGTTAATTTCATAAGATTACCTAAATGAATTATATGTGTTTGGCATGATTTATTTATAATATAAAAAAATGCCTAAATGAGATTATTATTGTTTATAAGTAAAAGTGCATAATATACAAATTTATGAATAAATTGTGTATGATTATGTATTATGAATACAATGGTATAATAGTGTTTAAACTATAAATGAATTGTGATAAATATACTTTTACCTCATGTAAGGAAGTCATGGAAGGATAAAAGTGATATTTTGATATTAGAACCAAGTTATACTTGAATGTGGAATTAAATTGAAATAGCCAAATTACTATGAAATTGCATTGGCTTATTAAGGTTAAATGACTAGTATAGAAATACTAGCCGGGAATGTTAGCATGAAAAGTGATAGAACAAATCCTAGGGGTTTGGATTGTGAAAGATGTACCTTAAGTAGTCATACGAAATGTCTTAAGGTAGAAATGAGTAAACGCTAAGTTACCGTAGGAGTGGACCTTAAAGGTTACTCATAGTAGAGGAACTCTAGGCATAGAGTTTGCTTAGTGAATTAGTATCGTGACTAGAGGAAGCCTCGAGCACGATGAAGAATGACTGGAGGAAGCCTCCAGCATTCGTGTAGGACGACTAGAGGAAGCCTCTAGCGTAACGTAATGTGACTGGAGGAAGCCTCCAGCACAACGTATGTAAGGTGATTAGAGGAAGCCTCTAACACCACGTGGAGTGACTAGAGTCAGCCTATAGCACGACAAAACATGACTAGAGGAAGCCTCTAGCATGGTAAACTAATATAGATGGGTGTGGCTTGAAGTCACGGGGAAAGGGTTAAATGTTTTCAAAGTAAACATGGGCCTTCGGGCGACTACTTGACTTTATATATAAAGTAAGTATACTTTCAAAAGAGGGTAACCACGGGTTATGACCTATAATATAATAACATCCTAGATTGAGGGTCTTGGAAATTGAAACTTTGATTATACTTAGTATAGTTGTCATTGTACTTGTCAAATGCTTCCAAGTACTGACCTCCCCTTCACGGGGGAGGCCACCTCACAGTTTCAGGTAGAACTTGAAGGTTGCTACCATCACCGTTGCTTCGGGCGGATTATCAAGGAGAGGAGACGTGGTTCGTGCTTCCTCCGTTTCTGTTTTAAACATTCAAATTAATGCTCATGGATACTATTTTCCGAATAATTATTTAGGGCTTGCACGCCCGTGTTTTCCACGTGTGGCTCGAATGCTGTATTAATATTTCCGCTGCTTAATTAAATGATTTACATTGTGATTGTTTATGGATGTACTAATGTGAATGGTATTCAAGACGCCTAGTATAGTATGGATGAGTTGGACTGCGGTTGACTATTCGTACTGTACGGCGGGTTGTTGACGTGTCCGGGAAGGTCCGGGGCGTGACAAACTTCATCAACAATCATCAGACGTTTCTCATCGTTATGGTTTAGATAAATGACTGAGACCGGATTGTCAAATATGTGATATGCTTCGAAAGGTTTGAGTCCAGGTCTTTTCAAGTCCGGTTGTGTGAGATTTACCTTTGAATAGTTGTGCTCGAGAGCCATCTGGAGATCATGTGAACCATAGAATCGAACCTGTCTTGTCATGAACCTTTTGATAGCCTCGAAGCCCTCTTTACCAAGCATGTCTCTATGAACTGGGAGTTCCCTACATCTCATGAACATTTGATAAACGTCATCCATATGAAGTAGAAAGAAGTCATTCTCTTGGCAGGTAAACTCTGATCCATCAGTTCGTTGAAGATGAAAAACTGAGAACTTGATTGTTTCCAAATAGTCTTCTGTTACATTCAGGATCTTCCAAACAGGGCATCCGCTAGTTGCAAGATTATGATTCAGGATTCGCCGTTGTTCCCCTGTGGATCAGTGTCCTAGCATGTACAGATTTCCACCTCGGTACTTTCCTTTTAGATGATTGATTCTGCGCATCTTTAGTTCGCTGAATTTCTTGATGTTTTCTGGTTGTCGCCAAATTCTCTCTCGGATTTCTTCTAGGAAGGGTGCTTTGATTCTTACGATTTCCCAGGCTTCTTTAGCTGGTTCTGGTTCCTTGTGGTTTTCTTTTTTATTCTCCCCTTCCTTGAGTTCATCTTCATCGAGTCCAATCATCTGTGCATGATACTTATTAAGGAACTCTCTGAGATGCCAGCTTCGACACATTTCGTACTGCTCGGCTTCCACTCTAAGGTCATCCCACTCTGTACACTTGCGAGTCCACTGATCATGAACTAGAAAATCTTCAAGTTCATCTTGTATCTGATTACCAGAGGGAGCTTGCTGCTGTGTCGGAGGTGATCTGTCATGTGTAGCACCGGGATCACAAGGATTGCCCGTTGTCATCAGCTTCGAACTAGGTTCTAGCTGATAGCCTGATACGAATGATGTACTCGAGGTAACAACATCAGGACTTCCATTCTGTCCTTGGTCAACATCTATAGGAGATGCGCCTCGGAATGTTTTGTCTAGCTCGACCATGCTAGAAGATGTGGCTAAGGATTTGTGGCTGGCTGAAGTAGTGGGTTGCTGATTGGTAGAGGTGGAGGGTTGGTTTGGCAGCGGAGGTTGGCTTGTAGAAGCAACATGCTCAAGTAACCGCTGGTGCTTGTTCTTCCCCTCATGAGAATCCGAATCATCAGGATCCTCATGTGAACGTTTAGCGCCACAGAGACTCTCATGACATGTGCTCTGAATATCCAGAGTTAGGAGAAAGTCTTTTTGGAGTGGGGTACAGTTGCCTTCATCCGTCTTTAGGATACGATCGAAAATCTCAGCTACGAGATCATCGAAGGGTACGGTTCTGAGATTGGGTTTGGTCATTGTAGGGGAGGATACTAGTTCTGTATCCTGGGTTCCCCTTGAGGTGGATGGTTGTTGATTTCCTAGGGTTAATGGTTGGGAAGTTGGGATTGAAGTGGTTGGGGGCTGAGTGGTTTGAGGTTCGGTTGGTATATCCTGAACAACCGGGGTTTGTCTAGAGCCTTGTGCACTAGCAATTATTGCTTCGCGCACCCATGGTTTAATGGCTGACTCTAGATAGCTGTTCAGATATACGAGAAGGTCTTCAGGGATAGTGGTTCCAGTTACAGGGGTTGTAACTGTTATCACAGCATCAGTGAAAACAGCTGATGTGTGGCCTGCATTCAATGATGGAATCATTGTTGGCGTAGGAGGACTTCCGACCATCATTTTTTGTACTCCGGTCGTTGCGTTCAGGGTGAGTGCATCTGTATGTGCTGTGAATAGTGTAGGTGTCCTAGAAAAATTTGAAAATGTGGGTATGGTGACACCTAGACTCGATGTGATGGAACGAATGGGGGTAGTGGTCCGGGGTTGTTGACCACTAAGTCTCTCAACTGATTCCGAGGGAACCAGCGAGGTCGGTATGAATTCCCCTTGAGTTATTGAAACTCCAGCCTGTTGGGAGACTGGAGAGTGGATTAGAAAGGGCTGTGCATGCGCAGTTGAACCGGATGCTGCGACTTCTACCCGGGAACTGACAAGTTCAGCTCCTGCACCTAGGGGCGTGGTCCGGTATATATTTTTTTGACTGAAATCGGCTTAGATAAATAACCAATAAAAGTTCAGAGTATGAGTCAACTGACAAAAAGAAACTGATAACCGTCATCCCTCGAACCAGGCTCGGAATTAATTGCCGTAGCAATATAATTCGCTGATCCATAACCGGGAAACAAAAAGCCTAACTCGGTTACCAAATTCCTCCCATCCCCCAAATCCAAAATCAACGTCTTACAAACTGGAAAATAAACGGAAAAACAAATACCAAAACAGAACCAAACAACATACAATTCGACAGAAAAACACAAACTGAATAAAACGAATTAAAATAGAATCCACTCATCTTCTTCCAAACCCTAGCTTTGTTTGCACGCCACGGCGGCGGCTCAGGAGGGGGACGCACCCGCCGTTCATCCGCCACAACTTCAACATCAGCTTTATTCAGATCCGGTTTTTCTTTCTCAGCGCCAGTCGCCATCATCTTGTATTTGTCCACAAAGCTTCCCAGACCGAAAAGAGACACATCAAACAAAAATCCAAAACTTTTTTCCACCTCCATATCCGCCGACGAAGCGGCTTATACCGTTGTCGCAGAAGTCTTCAAGCAACACGCCCAATTCGAAGCAGACCAAAACCTTCATCTTGTTGTTCGTCAATACTCCAAACGAAAAGCCCTCCAACAAATAAAAGACGCGGTGGCTAGCCAAGAAAGCTCGCCGCCGGACAAAAGCCCCTCAAACAAATAAAAGACGCGGTGGCTAGCCAAGAAAGCTCGCCGCCGGACAAAACCCTAGGCCAAAACCTTGACTATTAAATATTAAAAAGCAGAAATAAATCATAGAGTTTAGAAAAATGATAAGAGGTTTTCCTTAAATATTTCTTAAAAACTACTGACCTAAATGTTACTAGACCAAGTGTAGAGAGCTAGAAGATAGAGAGAATGTGCTTATTTAAGATGCATCAACACCAGGGACGGGGCAAGGATGTAATGTCAGGGGTGTCAAAGTAATGTATACCAATGAAGATATATATAAAAATGTGAATTCTAAGTTAGAAATATTATATGATTTTTTAAATTTCTTATTAAATATTACCAACAGTATTCTTTCAATCATACATAAAAAAAATTGTGATATAGAGGAATATATTATATATATTGACACTGTTTATATAAAAAATAGTGGTGTCATTTTTAACACTTTCAATCTATATATATACACATATATATACAATAAATATATAATTTGAGTGGTGTCATTTGACAACGTAAGCCAACACTTGGCTCTGTCCTTGATTAACACTACGATCGACTACACATTGGAATATAAATTGATTGGGCCTCTATTAGGATGTTTTTACTTGAACTGGAACTTGCTGGTCTGGTCTGGTCTGGTCTGAACTGGTCTGGTGATGTCTGGTCTATGTGTTTTTTTATAACTATCCAAGTCTAGTCTAATCTGGATTGGTCTGGACTGGTCTGATTTGGTCTATTCTAATCTGGTCTAGTCTAATCTGATCTGAAACTAAAAACAGTCCAAGTAAACACATCCTTACTCAATCGAGTATAAAGCTAGAGAAGATAGACCATTTGTGAGGTATTAAGAGCCCAAAAGACTAAAAGGGAGCTTTTGGACTCCTAATTGTATGTGGTGATAGTTTAAAAGAAAAAAAAAGAATAGGACGGCCTATGGGCTATGGTTTCTTTTAAACTTATATAATTTTTTTATTTATTTTCCAAGTTTTTCAAAACATGTATCAAAATTCTTTTTTGATCTTTCATATGACACCAATATGTAATATATAATATGAACAAAAACAAATCTGAAATTTTAATTGTTGAATCTTCTTGAGCCCCAAAGAACACGAAGCACAAATTTTTAATTCATGGAGCCTTCACAAATAACTAAATATTCCATAATCGAACATTACTTGAACTAAATTGATTTTTGTTAACCGCACAACGTTAAAAAATTAATCAAATTTATTTATTTTTACATTAAATGTGTATTTTTTATTTCATAAATATTCAGGGAAAAAACTATAAGGAAGACATTACTTATAATAATTTAATTAATGTTTTGTTAGATTAGTATGTAAAAAATATGCTGAGTGTATTTTATTGACGGTCTTGGAATGCAGAAAAATAGAAGCCTAAACAATGTTTTGGCCTCTCCACTAGAGATGACAACGGGGCGGATCGGGGATGGTTATGCATATAACAGTACCCGCCCCGTTGGGTAACTTCCCGGCCCCGTAGCTGCCCCACTATCCAACGGATAATTTTTATCCAAACCATTACTGTCCCGACGGGTAATGACGATTATAACCGCTGGTAACCGTTTTATTATTTAATGAATCATTGATATTTTAATTTAAAAATTATTATTTCAAAAGGAAAATAAATTAATAGGGATCACCTAGACGACTCTTGTGTTGAAACCCCTCAGCAAAATGCTAGGGTTGAAAGAAAACATCAGCATATTCTTCAAGTTGCCAGATCTCTTTTGTTTCAGTCTTGTTTACCTCTCATTTTTTGGTCTGATTGCATTCTCACTGCTGTGCATATTATAAATAGGATTCCTAGTTCTATTCTTAATAATAAATCTCCCTATGAATTATTATATGGTAAGGTGCCTGATTATTCTCATCTCAGAGTTTTTGGTTCTCTTGTCTATGCATCTACTTTGTTTGCTGATAGGTCAAAATTTGACAAAAGGGCTATCAAATGTGTTTTTAATGGGTATCCTCTTGGATTCAAAGGATATAAATTATATGATATTTCTAATCACAAATTTTTTATATCAAGAAATGTTAAATTTTATGAAATGATTTTCCCTTACAAAAGTAATTCTGATTCTTCTAATCATATGCATTCTGATTTTGTTTTAGATTCTTCTAATTCTGATGCTTACACTTACGAAAATCGCATAGCTTCTAATCATTATTTAAATAATCAGATCAATGAGGAAATCAATAGTATGAATATACATACTTCTACTATTAATAATAACACTGTTTCAGAGGAGCAGCCTCACAGAAAATCCACCAGAGTAAGATCTATACCTATTCACCTTCAAGATTACAATTACGAATTACCTAACTAATCACTGCAGGTATTTCTCCTTCTTCTTCTTCTTCATGTAATATTGTTAGATATCTTATTCAAAATCATATAACATCCAATAGATTAGGTCTTTCTCATTCTTGCTTTACTGCTGCTCTTTCAAAACTTACTGAACCTAAAATCTATAAGCAGGCTGCCAAATTCCCTGAATGGAAGGCCATGTCAAATGAAATTCAAGCTTTAGAAAATAATAATACTTGGGTTTTAGTTCAACCTCCTTCTAATCAAAATATTATTGGTTGTAAATGGGTTTTTAAAACAAAACTAAAACCTGATGGCTCTCTAGATAGATATAAAGTCAGATTGGTAGATAAAGGTTATACTCAAGAAGAAGGTTTTGATTATTTTGATACTTTCTCTCCTGTTGTTAAATTAACAACTGTCAGAATTGTTTTGGCTATTGCCAGTGCTAAAAACTGGTTTTTACACCAACTTGATGTAAACAATGCCTTTTTACATGGTGACTTAAATGAAGATATTTTTATGCAGCCTCCTCCAGGTTATTTGCCTTCTACTGATAACTGAATCTGCAAGCTTGTTAAGAGCCTCTATGATCTTAAACAAGCATCTAGACAGTGGTTTTGTAAGCTTTCTGATTCTCAAGCTGATTTCTCTTTATTCACTAAAATCACTAATACCTCTCTTAATTACTGTACTTTTAATATATGTAGATGATATAATTCTTGCTGGAAACAGTATGAAAGAAATCACTGCAGTTAAAACTTTTTTAAATAACAAATTCACTATTAAAGATATTGGAGAATTAAAATATATTTTAGGAATTGAAATTGCAAGATCTAATAAAGGTATAAATCTTTGTCAAAGAAAATACACTCTAGATATTTTAACTGAATATGGTTATCTTCATTCTAAACCTTATACTACTCCTATGGATTCGAAAATAAAACTGTCTAAAAATGATGGAACTGTTTTAGAAAATCCTAAAACATATAGAACCCTTATTGGTAAACTGCTTTACTTAACAGTAATCAGGCCTGATATTGCTTATAGTGTACAAGTTCTTAGTCAATTTCTTGCTTCTCCTACTGATGTTCATATGAGTGCAGCTCATAGGGTTCTCAGATACCTAAAGAATTCTCCAGGTAAAGGTTTACTTTATCCTTTTAATTCTGACTTTTCTATTCAAGGCTACACTGACTCAGACTGGGCAGCTTGTGTAGACACTAGATGAAGTGTTTCAGGTTATGCTTTCTACCTTGGAAATTCTTTAATTTCTGGGAAATCTAAGAAACAGCAGGTTATCAGTAGATCTTCTACTGAAGCAGAATATAGGGCTGCTGCTAATGCAGTCTGTGAGACTCAATGGTTATCTTACATCTTTACAGATTTGCATATACCTATTTCTTTACCAATAATTATTTGCACTGATAACAAATCTACCTATCATCTTGCTCATAATCCCATTCAACATCAAAGAACCAAGCACATAGAACTGGACTGTCATTTAGTTAGAGAAAAAATTAATTCTGGATTAGTTACTTTGATTCATTTTAAGAATAATTTTCAACTTGCAGATGTTTATACAAAACCGCTTGGAAATCCTTTGTTCAGCCAGTTTGCAGTCAAGATGAACATGTTAGACATCCATGCTCCTCTTGAGGGGACATATCAAGAATAAACAACCTGGACTGGACTTGCTTAGCTCTGGAGTTTTGGGCCTATATGTTATTTTTGGGCTTTATTGCATATTATGTAATAATGTATAAATACCCTCTGTAGTTTATACTTTTAGGTCAAGACTTTCATTTAGATCATTCATTCGATGTGCTATTCTCTTCTCCAAGAAACACTCTGTAGCTTTGTTCATCAACGATTCAATCTGTTCTCTGAGAATTAATTTTCACAAGTATATCCATTTCAACGAGTGAACTTCGAGAATCAATTTCTCATTCACCCGTTATCGGTTTTAAGTGTACCAAATATCGAATTGAAGTCCTTCACAAGGTAATTCCGAAACCACTTTGACCCGACCCAAATCGGAAGTGGACCTCATTCAACATACTGCCCCAAATTGACCATTTAATGCACTTTTAACACTTTTTCCAATACAGCACTACCCTTCCTCGCGACTAGGCAATTCGTCTGGATCATGCTATCATTCATTTTTTCATCGGTTCGTATTTTTTCATTTGTTATTGTGTCATCATTTTTCATAGGGGCCCACACCATGGATTGATTTGGTTCTAATACAATGTCTGGATCCTAAAAGGTCAACCTCATAACGTAACGAACTCAGATCTTGATATAGTGTTTAATTATTTAAGAGATATCTGGCGTGGGACAACATCATATGTCGAACTCAATATAGAGATGATATAAAATAATTCCAAATATACTATGGACAATAGAAAAATGTGCTCTAGTAACTTTTAGTGCTTATATATAATTGTCTTCAAATATCACATCTTAGTGATTATAAAAGTATACTCATAATTACTATAATCATATTTTTGTTCATGAGTATAATTTTAGGTATATATTAAGAAAAACTCCAGCTATCTGTACCAAATATTTGATATGGGGTACATGGTTTTTAACATTAATGATTGTTTTCAATTATTGAAATGGTTGTAATCCAAATCAGATCAGACCAAACTAGATCAAACTAAATTAAACAAAATCATACATAGAACAAACATCTGCTAGATCAGATCATATCACTCCAAACTTAAATAGACCAAATCAAACAAGATTATAAAGTTATAGTCCAGTTAAAAAAATCCTTAAATTAATAATTAAATGCACATAGAAATATCTAAAATAAAAGTATGACGATTGCTTTCTTATTATTAAGCTTAAAATTAAAGATTTGTGATTAAAATTTAATACTCCCTTCATCCCTTAAAATTTTATCTATCTTTGAAATTTTTGATCAATGATATGATCCTTTGCTTGGATATTCAATACAACTGGTCCAAATAATATACAAGAGGAATAATAATTACATATAGGGAATAGTGGAATACAACTATACAAGATACTAGCTAGCCGAGAGACATAGCTAGCTAGTAGAGTAAAAAACACTACTAGCAAGCGTGGCGAGGATTTCAAACTAAAAAAAGCTGCGGCTAATTCATTTACAAAGCTGCGCTGCTACAAAAACAAAGTTGTATGCTACATATGATAGTGTACACAACAAAACGTACACAACATAATTAATGTTCTTTGGAGGCGGTGGCGTCCTCGCTGTCGTTGGTGTCGCTGCTGTTCCGATACTGCTGTCTCATAGCATTGATGAAAGCGGTGGCTTTGGCATCAATTTGGGGGTCAGCCACCCAATTGAGACGGTCTTCGTCGCTCGTATATATTCTGTACACCGTCTCCTTCTTTACCACCGCCTCGTCCCTCTCCGATTCTCCTTCGTCCCTTCGTTCCTTCTTTTTCTTCAGCTTGAATAGTCCGAAAAGAGAATTCCCTGATTTCTTGGCCATTCTTATCAGTTCAATATGTATGTGTTTGTGTTTTGTGTATGTTTTTTTATTTGTTTGTTGGACAATATATAAATGACGATGGGTACTTACTAGCTAGGTAGCTGAAAATGGTATAACAAGGTTGTTTTGGCGGTTGATTGGTATATGTGGTTGGTTGGGCTTGCGTATGACTTATATAGTGGAGTGGGAGGGAGATTATAATTAACGCGGTCGGAATAAAATCACTAATTCCGAGTATATGAAATGAAACGAGTGAATAATCGAATCATTAAATTATAATAACGTGGACTGTGGGTATATTCTTTCAAAGCTTGACCATATCAACAAAGGTCGGGCTGGGGATCAAATACCTCCGATTTGATATATTATGGGTCCCGTAACTCATTACGAGTAGGAAGTTATGACTTCTGGAAAAATCAGTATCATCTTAATTTGAAATAAGCAAAATTTGACGTGTGACGTTGATTATATTCTTAAATTTAAAAATAAAACACCTTATCCAGTCATTAGTTGTGTGAACATTATGATACATTACATATTTTTTTTTTCTTCAAAAAAGCAGTAAGTTTTTATTAAGCGTAATCGTAGGAGGTTACACGAGATCAGCCCATCCGTTTCCAAAGCCCACAAAAAAGGCCCGTAAGGAATTAAACGATTGAGGACAAATCGAGAGAATATCTTGCGTGTGAAACATAATACGTTAAAATGATACATTACATATATATCAATATATTAACCGAAAAATGGTCATTAAACTATCATTTATCTCAGCTACATATGAAACATTTAATTGTGTATAATAACTATCCACCATTTTGATACAGTATACTTCGTACAATTTTATAAATTCCGACCCCCTTCACGCATTTTTCTGGCTCCGCCCCTGGATCCACGTTTAGACTTTACAGATTGGTTATGCATAGGGAATGCTCATGGGATCACGTTTGATGTTTAAACCCAAATTGTCAAAAACGTTTTTTTAATTCCAAAATTGTACTATCATGTTTTTTATTTCTTGAATAGGAGTAATCTGTCAAGTTTGAAAAAAATGTCATGTTTGAAGCCTAGTATTGTCAAACTTAACAAAAAAATGTCATGTTTGAAGCCTAGTATTGTCAAACTTAACAGAAATTTACTCATATTCAGGAAATAGAAAACATCATAATCCTATTTTGAATTTCAAAACATTTTCACTCTCAATTAATTAGGGAATTCTCTCATGTTTAAAATATCTCACATTATTAAAAATATGGTTTTTACTAGACTTCCTAACATTTTTGACTGGAATGAGTTCTAAACCCGTGATCTTTTCATTAAGAGTGTCACAGTGATGTGATCAAACTACCACATATTAAGACTATGTTGAAAAATGTGTTTCTTACTTTCTTTGTCATGAATATAAAACTATGTTTAAAATCTTCACAATAGACGAAATTACACCAACTAAAATCAAACCAACTATTCAAAAAAACTTTGAAGATTTCATTTGAAAAAGGACTACGGTATCATTATCCAATGATAAGATATTTATTAATCTCAATCATTCCTTAAAGGGATTGCTTCTACTTTAATTCTTGATTTTGTTTTATTTTATTCATTGTGTTTTCAAAGTAATCGAGCTTTTAGTCGGATAAGAACCAAGGATATATTGGTTAACATAGCTTTATACAATTGTGATTACGGTCGATCTTATCTTGTAAATCTGAAATTTCCTAGGTTTTAGGAGAGACTAACAGCCGGAAAAGTTTCTTATCGAAATGGTAATCCATTCAGATGGTACAAGCTGGAATCATGACCAATTTAAAGATTTTTTGCTCGAAGAAGACTTAATTCATAAAAATAGCATTCAGCAAGGGTACAACACTAGAAAACAACCACAAATAACCATCCGCCCGTGACCGAGACTGAGAGCTAACCACTTGGAAAAAAGCAGTATAACTCGTAAGACCAAAATTGGGCAACTTAAAGCCAATGACGGTTATCGCAGACTTTCTCTCCCCCAACCTTAATGCAAGAGTCTTACAAGGAATGAAATAACAAAAGAAAAACATAATAAAGCAACCTAAATTAAAGTAACCAAAACAGGCAATAATAAAAACACCATTGTAAGTTTTCTTCCCCACCACCGCCCAACAGAGATAAGGCGAGTCTAGGAGACCTGACCCGCCCCCTCCCGCCATTTTTTGGCCCATCCAAAGTCATTCCTTCGCCATCGACACCCTCTTCAGTCTGGTCATCTCATATCCTTCTACGCTTTGGATCTCCAGGAGTCTCTTCCCTGTCTTCACCCTCATGCAGTGATGGCTTACTAGTCTTGGACTCGGCCGTATTCTCTACCCCGAGATCAGACTTCCTCTGACCTCCAAATCCATCTGAGCTAAAGGCTCCATCAGATAACCATTTATTAAATCATGTCGGGCTAGTCTTCACCCTTCCTCCAGCTCTAAGTCCCACCCCATATATTTTTTCAGCTACAAAGTCCTCTTCGTACTTCAATGGACAGAACTTGCCAGAATGTCCGATAATACCACAAATAAAGCAAAAACTGGGTAGTTTTTCATATTTAAAATCTACCCAATGTTTCACCTCATCCTGTGTTAAATTAGTACCTTTTTTCAAAGGTTGACGGACATCCAAACACACTCGTATTCGCAGATAAGAACTCTGCTTTCCATCAAAATGGCACATCTCAAATTTAATAAAAGAGCCTAAAAAATTACCAATTTTCCTAGCAGATCTTAAATTCCTATACTTAATAGGAGCATTATGAACCTGTACCCAGAAACTAGCCTCAAACAAGTTCATGGATTCCAGTATATCATCTGGTTGCACAGCCTTTAGCAAAACTAAATCTCGCTCAAAAAGCCAAGGACCATCCTCTATCACACGGTTCATATCCAAAACATGATTAAAGTTTAGCAAATACCTTCTTTCGCCGATCTCTTTGATAGACATACTTTTCCCTGGCTTCCAGATAGAGGTCATCAACTCTTGAAACCCAGGTAATTTGACCTTGCGGTCCGTGATGACAACCCCAACCACCGGAAAAGTCGCCGGTTCCTTCTCCTCCTCACTGCCTTCCTCTGGCTCCTCATCAAAATTATTATGCTCCAAATCCTGCTCCTTCATCGACATCTTCCTATATGAAGCCACAATATCCTCCATGCAAAAACTCTTCGACCGAACCGAAAGTCCTCGCTCTAAGCCTCGTTGAATCCGCCTGCACTTCGTCTGAAATTGCCGCCCTGTGCTTCGCCCGAACCTTCTTCCTTGCTAAGCGATTCCCGATCCTCGGCCGAGAACCGAGATCGAAGATACTAACCCTAGCGGCCGAGCCCTAGGAGTACCGAAGTTTTTGAGAGAATAAACCCTCAGAATGTGCTTTCATCGTTATAATATATTGTTACAGCACTTGCACACAGAAAAAACAAAGTTAATTGATATTTATAAGTCTTCAATAATTAAATAGATTTGTTCATTATAGACAAAGTCACAAAAAGGGTTATAGTTTTGAAATTCTTCAACGAATTAAAGTGATAAAAAACTGACTACAAGTTCACAAGTCTTCAAACTAGACAATAAATCCACCACCACTATTCAATTCTTTAGTATTTTACTTATATTTTGTTGTGTGTTTTGACTCCAATGAGGAGCTAAATTCTTTATTCATGGTTTTGCTATCTTGATTTTTTTAACATTAAAATTGTGAGTAATTTTCTTAAACTTCTCTTCTTGAGTATTAATCTTTTCCTACTCATATCTCTATATATATTATTGTTGGTGTATTGCTAAGTGACAATTAGTTAACACTTTAACATTAATTATTACTAGAAACGAACAATGAATCGGTGGTTAATCATTGAATATTTCACAATTAAGTAATTTTGGGTTATTAATGCATGGTTTCATGATTAGTAATCTAAAGAAGGATTAAAGGTGTTCGTTGATTGAATTTATCGATCTCAATTGATTTCATTAATAAGTTAAGAGATTAAATGATACTATCAAGTGGTATATGACAGTCTTCTATACTTGACTAATTAAAATAACTGTAAAATTTACTAATGAATGATCTCGTTGTTAATAGCTATCCTTATACTCCACAATTGAGTATTCAAGAGGAGATAGTTATAAAAAAACTGTGATCAATAAATATTTCAACAAGTGGAAAGTAGTAAACCCATGTTTAATTTGTGTCATATTGATCACATAATTCATCTATCTTAGTGTTTAGAACAATTCTCTAATCTACCCCCGGCCCCCGTGTTTACTTTTAATTTATTTGAAACGTTACACACATTTTGAATTTAGATTATTTCTTTCATTGTGCATACAAACTCTACTGTGCTATACTACTAGAGTTATTAGTCCTAATGGTGAAATTTGTTCTGAGGTGACATCAATAGACATCGTTTTCTCTACCATACGAACTGGCGCCTATGTAAAGAGTAAAGACGAACACAGATTGATGTCTGCACAAATTTTTGTGTGTGGCCTAAGATGTTTTTACTTGGACTGTAATTTGCTGGTCTGGTCTGGTCTGATCTGGTCTGGTCTGGTCTGGTCTGGTCTGGTAAGGTCTGGTTTCTTTGTATTTTTATAACTATCCAAGTCTGGTCTGGTCTGGTCTGGTCTGAACTGGTCTGGTTTGGTCTGGACTGGTCTGGTCTGGTCTGGTCTGGGGCAAATTACAGTCCAAGTAAAAACATCCTAACTTTACAGATCAGATACTTTCTTGTTTTCCTCATTTATATGTTCACACAAACAAATTATAATGGCATTTGAATGATACAAACTATTTTTTAGACTCCGCAGACAATCATTCATGCGTTGGGAAATTTATTAGGATATGACTAAAACTCAATGAGTTTCTCAATCTATGACCTAACTAGTTATTACACCTTTGTATGACCAAAAATCCAAAAACAAATAGAAAATTTGTTTATATTTAAATGTTGAATGACGAAAATACCCTTATTTAAAATATGTGCATTTTGCAGTTTTGCACTAATTTCGACCAATTAAAATTAGGAAAAAGGTGCAAATAGGCCCATGTACTAACCAAAAAAGGTCAAATAAGCCCTTATTTAGGAGGCTCTGTCCGGCCGTTGCCATTTGAGGTGGTTCCCGGTGGAATTTTTTGGTGAAATATTTTGAGCATTGTATTCATTAACTCTAGTTTACTCATACCAAATTTCAGCAAAAACTTCAACCGGGAAGGCATTCAAATGAATTCTTGAAAATAACTGCGCAGTTAGAAGCGCAATTATCTTCAAGAATTCATTTGAATGCCTTCCCGATTGAAGTTTTAGCTGAAATTTGGTATGAGTAAACTAGACTTGATGAATAAGATGCTCAAAAAATTTTATCAAAAAATTCCACCGGGAACTACCCCAAATGACAACGGCTGGACAGAGCCTCCTAAATAAGGACTTATTTGACCCTTTTTTATTAGTACATGAGCCTATTTGCCCCTTTTCCCTTAAAATTACTGCACTTTATATTTCCGTTAATGCACAAAATTAATGCACGTCTTCAGTGCACATACGGTTATAATCACTGCACTTTTGCCAAAATTAATTCTTTTCTCATTCACTTGAGGAATTTATTTTTGTTTTTTATTTTTATTTTTTTAGGTTTAATAATTTTATTATTTTACTTCTAATTAAGTATATTGCATTTCATGATGAACTCACTGTTCTGTATTACTGCAATACCGGTCATAATGAATTCACAACAAAAATTCTTAATGCATTCATTCACTGCCATGTTCAATATGTCTATTACCATAGACTTCAACACTTATTGAAATGTTCACTGACGGTGTTCAATGCTCATATTTAATGCCTCGAAACCCTAAATTTAATATAAAACACAAGTATATGCTCTAATCACAATCTCAAGATAAGACCCATCTCATCTTCGATTATCCCACCAGCCTTTTGACAATGATGTTCCCATGCATAGCCCCTGCACTCCAACCATTTGATAGTCGAAAGTTTGTGATGAATTGTCTCTTAAATCTTTAATTAGTCCACCTGGCGTCCTGGCCTCAAGCATCACAAATGGTAGTCTGTAATTTCATCATCCTCATTTTCAACTTCTCTTCTCGAAATTTCAACATACTACGTATTTCACAAGGAAAATAAATACTACGTAAATAAATAAACTATCTGCTTAATTTGGAAAAAGAACATCTTTATTCAAAATGCGCACAACACGTCCATCGACCATATTTCATATTTCATACGTGTGACTAAAACTACTCCTCTTCCTCAATATATGACTTGACAAGTTTTCTTCCCTAAATAATTCTTATTTGGTAATACGTAAATAATACTCCGTACTTTTAATAAATAATAAAGATATATTTTATATAGACTAAAATGCCCATAACTTATTATTATTATTATTATTATTATTAAACCCTAATATTCTCCCTCAATCTATCATCGCCTCCATGTTCGTGGCATCGCCTCCATCCGCGTGCATCCCCTCCCGGCCACCAAGTAGCAGTGTGATTAGCGTGGGAGGGGATACGAGATCAGGATTAATCATTCCCTATGCCGGTTAAACCAGGCCATAGGATATGACGAGTATCCTCTGTGGAGGGTAACGTCAAAATGTTCGTTGCGTTTGAAATTAGAATATAGATGAATTGGAAACCGATTCACAAAAAATTCCGATGTGAAGAACAAAAAAACAATTTCCAGGGAGTCTCTTTTTTTGGAAGAAGGTGGCTTATATTAATAAGAAAGAGCGTAAACAGTATACAACCAGACAAAGAGCTCATTGCCTACCGTCTGCCCTTGAATCAGACTTAGAACCTACCACCTCAAAAGAAGCAACCAGATTCGCTGATCCTGAATTGGGCTTACCAGAGCCAATGACTGGCAAACTAGGCTCCCCATCACCTGTCCTAAGTTCTAGAGTTTTTTTTTTTTCGGAAAAACACGACACAACTAAGACAGAGTAAAGATCCAAATAAAAACGAAACATGAAAAAAACTAAACAAGAAAAATAAATTTCTTGAACCGTAGCACCTTGTTCACCCCTGGCGGTGGTTCAGGAGGAGGCCGGACCATCGCTATGATTGTTGACGCACCAAAGCGGTTTTCCTTCAACTCGGCCGCCACTTCTTCATCATCATCGATCACCCCTGTGCCGTCTCCACTAAAATCGATAGCAATCCCCCGCTTCTCTTCCTCAAGGATCAATCCTTGCCAAATCTGTATCAAAAACTTCATTGGAACCCCCCTTCTCCACAGTATGGCCCGCTGCCTATGACTATTTGAAGCTCTTCAATCGAAAGCTTCGCCGGAAAAACTACGCCCCAAACCCTAGGGGAAGGCCGCGGTTCCTCTTCTGAATTTTCTTTTGAACCTCACAAGGTTGTTCAAGTAAAAATACAACATATAAGGTCTAAACAATTTCATTACTTGCAGCTTATAAGTGCAATAACACCGCATTCAATAATGTAAACATTATGCAAACAATAAAAATTGTAATTCAAAAAACAAGCACATCTAAAAAAAATACATAACCAAAGAAAAGAAAACACTAACCACACTTGGAACAAGCCACTTCCATCCAAGCAATCTCCACAAACAGACCACAGACAATCAGGATCCACACAAATAACATGTAACACCTTACGAGAAGATGACTTTGTTCGGTATTGGAAAAAATTAGTAATTGCATACATCTTTAGATTAAAACTAAACTCCTTCTTGTTTTGATATATGGCGTCTAGAGCAAGACGGGTGGGGACAAAGTGGGGGACAAAAGAACAGTGAGGAACCTCAAACGAAGATGTGAAGTCATTGCATCATTGATAACATCTTCATCAAAAGACAAAGGGATTAAATAAGAATCCTGCAAAACATCACTACACTGCATAGTTTGTTGGTCTGCTGCTGCTAATATTTCAGAATCCTCCAAAACATCCAAAACTTCATCATCCGAAAAAGAGTAATCAACCGTGTTTGCACTTTCAGCACATCCTTTGAAATCAAAATAAAAATAATTACAAATAATACAAATAATTTGAAAGCTAAATTCATATATTTAAATTGCAAGTAAAATATAAAACCAGGGGAGAAATATTTGACTAACCTTGAAACGATTGAAGAAGCTCTACACACAGAGGAAGTTTGTTGAAGTCTGATTGAATGCTTTTCATTTGAAGATAAAAAAATCAAGCTGGAATCGTCATTGATGATAAGCGGCGGAGGACATGCTTGAAATACATATGAAATACGTATAGCATTATCACAATCTCTTACGCCCAACGAATTGTATACAATTCCACAAAATTCAATCCACTTGCAGGACAAAGGAATATTAATGGCGATGGCGGTTGAGCTTTGAAAGTGAATGTCCGACAACCACTGACCATCTACGTTCATCAAGACATGTATGGTTGGAGATTGATTTGGAGAACACACGATTTCCATAATTTCCGAAACAGGAAGAACGAATAGAAGAAGGGAAGACTTATTTGGAATTCATCGAAACAAGCAGAAGATGAAGGTTGAAGACGAGAGGGAATCGTGATGAAAAAACGGTTACCTAATTTAGCGGATTGGGAAATAAATGCTTAAACAAATTTGGTATAAAGATGCTCTGACCGTAGGGTTGACTGAAGGGTAGCGATGGAATTAAAAAAACTTAACGTATGGGATGCGTATGATCGATGATTCAGGTAACATTGATTAGGCAAAAAAAACTTTGAGGTCATATTTTTAGAAACTTCAGGACTTCTAGTCATACTAAGGACAAATATCTCTATAGGCAGTGGCAGATCTATGTTCCAAACTATGGGTGTTCATTTATTTTCTATAATTAAAATTTGAAAAGGCAATAAATAATTAAATTAGGTGTTCATATGAACACCTTTGCACCTATATAGCTCAGCCACTGTCTATAGGTGGATGGTACTTTTAGGATCGGAGCAGTTAGGGTCAGGGACGGATCCAAGATTTCGAGTCAAGGGGGGCGAAATTTTTTCATTAGTGTAGGGAGTGAAAAAATTTCGCTAGTAATTAAGCGGAACAGGAAAAAAATCGCTAGTGTAGTGGGGCGAATTTTTTCGCTAGTGTAGGGCTCTGTGGCTAATTTGTATTTAAAAAGTTCCATTTTTTTAATCCCAGAAGGCAAACCACCAAAATCAGTGGGGCAAATGCCGGGAGTCATTTGCCGTTATTTTATTGATATAGGAGTCCATACGCAAAATCGACTAAAAAGAAAACATTTTGGAAGGCTAGACCTGGCCCAAAATAAAATACATGAAATAAGATTAATATCTAAGGTACGGGTAACTAAGTAAATCTGCAGAATAATATTTTCGGACCAGGCCCGGAAGAAGATCCACCGAACTGAAGTAATTGAACTGGGCCGTTATCAAATCCCGATCTGCTAAGGAATGAGCCGTCCAATTTCCTTGGGTAATTATCACAAGTAGACCGAAAACTAAAAATAATATCAACTTTTTCACTTTTTCTTTCCCTTTTCAAAAATAGACTTACTATAGTTTTGTTTTCGCAAATAGACTCAAGCACATCGAAACCCACTTACGAACCGTTACTCCCAGGAATGGAGATTACGTTGACAAAGTAAAAGAGCAGACATCAAACTCACCAAGTCACCAATGCTACACTAATAAATACTTAAATATAGGCATTATCTTCAAACCTGTTCAATGTTTTTTTAAAAACAAACTTGTTCAATTTTAAAAACATGAAATTACACAGTAATTTTTTTAGAAAATAAAAAATGTTAAAAAATAAAATATTAAACTGAAAAAGCTAATGAGAAAAAGCTAATGATCAACAAAAAAAACTGAAAAAGCTAAAGTTAGAAAATTATAAATTATATATACGGAGTATATAATACGGAGTAAATATTTTCTGAAACATGTAACATATAAACTTTTTAGAGATAAAACAAGTTTTAAAATAAAAATTCTAAAACATACTATAATATGAAGATAAATACCTAAAAAATGAAGAACGTTATATAATAAAGCAAGACGGCAAAAAATTCTAAGATTTTCAGAAAAATACAAAAGGTTAAAACACTTAATGTAATTTTTAAAAATAATTATTGTACAATTTCTATAATAAAAATGTTAAAGTTAACATAAAAATACTAAACAAAATTAAAAAGCCAAACACACATCAAAGAATATGAATTCTATTATTTGAAAACGTTGTAAAAGACTCTGAAATAAATATATGAGATTTTAAAACAATAAAAAAATCAAATTAAAATGTAAAAAAGGTTCTCATAATTAAAAACACTAAATTAAAAATTTTATAAATATTGAAAATCGAAAATAAAAAGGTGAAAATAAAAATAAAAAATGAAAAAACAAAAAATTGAAAAACTTGTAATAACGAACTTATACACTTTATATATTATTATTATCCTTTAATTGTTACTTTTATTGCATATTGTTTTTTTGTGTTTTTTATTGTTTCTTCATGTTTCTTTTTGTTTATTCATAAATCCAAATTTACCATTTTAGGTGTTTATAATTTATATTTGCGTATGTGTGATTTTTTATTCCAAATAAGTAAGGAATGTAAATATAAATCTAAAGAGACAAAAAAAAATCAGAATCAATATGCAACATGATGTAACAAAAAGCAACATGTATAATAAAAAGCAACATGATGCAATAGAAGCAACAAAAAGCAATACAATGCAGAATACTAGAAAAGAAATTTTTGTTGTTTATTGTTTATTTATGTTTCCTGTCATTGGTTTATACTCATAAATCCAAATTTGTCTGAGTTTTTTTACTTCAAAGAAGTAGCAAAAAGTAAATAAAAACCTAAATAAACAACAAAAAAAACAAGATCAACAATAAAACAAAAATAAGTAACACAATGCAACAAAATATGACACCGTGCAACAAAAAACAACAAGAGGCAACAAAAAGCAACACATTCAATGCAACAAAAAGAAACTAAAAAAACAATACATAAAAGTATCACACCAATTGTGTAATTCAATCTAGTATTTCAATTTATTACACACACATATATATATATATATGTAATATCTTGTCTTCACTTTGCTTGATAGTCTTCGTTATATTGTTAAAATCAATGAATCAGGGAACCTTCAACATAATTGAAAAAGAACTCTCAAGCAATCCATGGTTTTGATGACTTAATGATTTGAGAAGCCTTAGCGTAAGTCCTTGTGTAAGTCCACCAATATCCTGTTCATGCCAAATAAATAAAGCATATATGAGTAAAACATTAGAATATATGTACAACACAATGAGAGAATACATTTGACAGCATTTTGTAAAGATAAAAGACACGATTTTGATGCTCAAATCCAAAGGTTTAATCAACTACTCAGTCAAGTTGTATTAAATTATTGATTTGGGATGTGCTACATCTTACATCTTTGAGGTCAGAAAAATCTTTTATCAAACACAAGGATATACTTGTCCACTGAAATAGGCAATGGCAGAAAGTACATCAAGTACAACAATAACACCTACATCCTTGGTAGCCCTTGGTAACCTGCATTTTAGTATCACTGAAGCATAAAACACAATACAATTTAAGATTTTTTCATTCCATTAAAAAAACAAGCAGCAGAAGGAGCAAACCCTTGGCCACAGCAGAAATTCTTTCCCCTTTCTTCTGAAACACCCCCAGTAACAAGAAGAAGACCAAGAACAGTTTTTTCTCTTCTTTTTTCTGGAATAGCCGCACCAGCAACCAAGAGAGGAGAACCAAGACATGTAGATTGATAAATTTGATCAAATAGTATCTCAAAGAGATCCAACATACCAGGAACACTAATTTCAGCGCCTCAATATATGTTAGAATGGTTGCACTAATGTTAAAAAATACATTAGGATATGTAAGAAATACATTCACAGGGGGATGTAATTGCGGTGTGCTACTCTGATTTACTAATGTCATCCATCAATATCCAACATATTTTGCTTCTCTCCACACTCCAACTCTATAACTACATCCCCACATGCCAAAAAATAGATAAAAAGTAATTAATTATACAGAAGATAGCCTTTCATCAGGCCTTAATTTGAATCTGGTTTGGCATGACAGTTGGAAGAATATGATTATTATACATATACCAAAGCAAGAACACAATCACTTATAATCTAAGCCCAAACCTAATAGACAACACGCTCCAAGTTTCCAACTGTTTTGCTTGATGAGCAACGTAAGAGTAGAGATGTGTAGATATAAGTATATAACCTATTGTTTTATAGTTCTGAAATAGGTGTTTTTTTAGTTTTAATGTTGAACTCTAATTTCAGTTGCTAATCATGGCTCAAATTTCATGATCAAAGCATATTTGTGAGTGTTTGCATAAGCTCAAGAGCAAAATGAAACAATTGAGTTTTCTGATATGCTTATTTCAAAAAGTGAGTAAATAATACGTAGTACAAGACATAGAGATAACGCATGGAGATAACGCATAAATTGACAAATTGACAGATCAAAATGAAGCAATTGAGTTTTCTGATATGCTGATTCCAACCCTACCGAATTCTTAATCGATCAGATCAATTTTTTTAAATTGACAAATAAAATGATACAAGACATAGAGATAACGCATGGAGAGGAGGAGAATTGCATAGCATACCTGTGAGGAAATCAATTGAGTCGCTTGAACATAAGATCGATAAAGCGATCGAAATCGCTTCCTGCCTTGAGCTTCTCGTCGCCGATGATGACTTTGAGTTGGGCCTGTATTGGAAATCGGCCGAGTGTCTCCATCAATGTCGAAAAAGCAGATGAATGCCTAGCGAATTCACCGTAGTCTGTAGAGTAATTCCCCGTGGGTTCCTGTCAACTTTTGTCTTCATTGATGGAGCCTGGAGGAACTTCATCGTCGATTCACCGAGGGATGTACTGCGTATGTTTTAATTTAGGGTGTGGATTACTTTTGAAATAAAAAGTGTTAAACTGAAAAGATGAAAGTCCGAAAATGAAAACAAAATACTTGTGCGACATAAATGAAATGCGATGCCTAAAAAGGAACCATACAGGTAATTTCCACAATTTCCTTCACGCAAAGTGTGACTGAAATTAATTCCTTTTTGGATTGCTTGCTCACGAAAAGGTAGAATTAGGCAACTCCATTTCCCCTTCGGTTCCTCAGAAATCATCTTCAACGCAGCATAAGAATCACTCTCTACCTGAAAATTAACGTACCCTTTTTCCATCGCCCAGTTCGTCGCTTGGATTATAGCTCGAAGCTCTGCCTCTTCACTCGAACTGGCCATCAGTCTGAAGTTAATCGCCCACACCATCTCCCCCCTATTATCACGAAGAATGGCACCTCTAGCAGCATATCCAGGTATAAAAGAGGCATCTATGTTAAGCTTGTAGTCACGTTGAGGTCTCTTCCATCTGATGATTCGGATTCCAGAAGTTCTAAATCTAAAATTTTGATAAATTAAACCCTCTTCCTTGAGAAAATCATCCACTCTTTTGTTGTTGAACTTGCAAAGATTGGCCGACCACCGTTGTGAATAGAGCTTGATCTGGTCGATAATATGCCTC